AGATGAATTAGAAAAATTACGCATATTAATTAAAAGTATTAGAGGTTCACGAACACTTCGCAAGAAGTTAAAGATGATATGTCAAATACATAACATACCTCAATTGAAGCTGATTCTTGATGTTACTACCAGATGGAACTCTACTTGTGAAATGGTTAAACGGGCATTGAAGTTACAAAGTGTGTTAGATGCTGTTGTTCTTGCTAAGGAAGATTTGTATGAGTATATTCTTACTAAATCTAAATGGAATAAACTAAATCAGCTTGTTAAAATTTTACAACCATTTAAAGAAGTAACAATTGTAATGTCATCTTCAGAATATCCAACATTATCAATGACTGTTCCTCTTTATTATGAATTACTTAAAATGCTTAAAGAATCTAAAAAAAGTAATAATATACCACTATGGCTTGTTCAAAGATGCGAATCAGCGACTAAAAAGCTCTTAAGCTATTGTAAGAAAGCCAATATTTTACATTTTTCAGCTATAGTTTTGGACTTACGATTAAAATTTCAATACTTTGAAAAGCTTGGGTGGCCATTGCAACTTGTTAATCAGATTAAAGAAATGTAAGTATTTGTTATATATATATTATACAACAAATAGATTAATATATGATTTATTATTTTAGTGTTAAAAACAAGTATGAAAGTAGTTACGCACCTTCTTCTAGTCAAGATATGGTTTACTCATCTGTTAAATCACCTCCAGTAAATATTACAATGAGAATTTTTAAACGAGCTTGAACAGAACATCAAAGTGAATTAGAGACTTATTTGATAATGCCACTTGTAGATTCAAATAAAAATATTTTAGAATGGTGGCAAGAGAACGAAGGAAATTATCCAAATCTTGCAAAGTTTACCAGAGATTGTTTTCCAATACCGGCGACTAGTGTTCCAAGTGAGGAAATATTTAGTGTAAGTGGGAATATGATTACTGATAAACGAAATAGATTAGATAATAAAACAGTAAGAATAGCGATGTGCTTAAAATTGTGATGGAAGGAATTTCAGAATTAAACTTTATGATATAATAAACATCTTATTAAATAAATATCAAAGATAATAAGTGAATAGCAAAATATTAATTTTATTTTATTTTTTTGTTATTGTTGATTATACAATATCGAAAAATCGTCAATTAAATAATAAAATGTTGCTTAATAAGCTTGTTCATTACTTGGAACAGATAATATAATTTTTCCAAGCATAAATAATGTAACAATAAATTAATAGAATTAATATTAGTACCGGTTCGGTTCCGGGTTTAATATGATACGGTTCCGGGTCCATATAAGGACTCGACTTCACATGACGGTTCGGGTACAGATCCTAATAAAACCCGCCCGGAACCGGTCTGTGCGGAACACTAGTTCTAACCCAAAATTTTGCAAGAAATTTTTTTGTTAGAATATGAAAGGTGGTTTGATAAGCAAAATTTTGAGCTACAAGCGATTTTTTAGAAACATCGCTATTTTTTCGATTTCACATTATACCTGATCTTACGATCTGATTGGTTAATCAGATGGGTGTGTTATAGTGCACATGCGCTAAATTATATAATTTATAAAAAAAAGCATTTAAAATACAAGTTACTAGGGTAATATTTTCAACCTACTTTTTTGCTAGCAATATTCTTTTATCGAAGGTTCCAAGCCAAGCCAGAAATACTTTTTATCTCAGGCTTTTTATTTTGGTTAGAGGTATTTCCATATTCGATAACATGTATTGTGTATATATACATGTACTCTTATTTGGTTAGAACACTTGTTTAACATAAATTATAGATGGCCTCTTATTATATTTTGTCATTAAAGTTTTTGTTTCAATCCGAGTTTCCAAGCTTAGATACAAAGATAAGTATTATACTTCTCTTTTTTTTTTTGTACTTGATTTTCCTAGACTATTAGCCTTTCTTTTACTTGTTTAGAGTCTTTTTGAATAATTATTATTCAAAATTGAGGCTTCTGGGACTTTCTAAAGATCAAAAAAGTCAAATTTTTGTTTGCTCTGATGATTTTTGATATTCGTGACATCATCTACGTGATTGTTACTTATATATATGTTTTGATCATTCACTAATCTTGATCTCTTTTTCTTATAATTCTTTTTTCTTGTTTTATACTTTTTTTTTTTTTATACCTTTATTTTTTATTTTATATACTTTTTTATGTTAATCTTTCACTTTTTCTGGGACTTTTGGACTTTTTTTGGTCAAGATCATGTTAGATTCTTCCATGCTTGGACCTTTCTACAAGGTGTTAGAAGAATCTTTTATACATCTTTGCTTCCAGTGTATCTTTGGTAATTTTGGTATAAGAAACGTGTTTTTTGTAAAAACTTGGTTTTTAAGATTTTTTTTTTATACAGATCCCTTCTTTTCGTTTACAGTTTTCATCACTTCAGATCTTTCATCTATTTATTTTGGGTTTTTGTTACTTTGAATCTTTCTAACAGCGATTACTTTGTTCTCAACTCATGTAAATACTTTCACAGACTGGTAAATGATCTTATTTTAGTCTTTAAACATCTCTTTCTTCGGTTTCACTTTAGACTCTTCCATACTTAAACCTTACTATAAAGGTAGTGAAACAAATCTGTTGTGATTTCTGATTTCCAGGCATATCTGGGGCTTCCAAGTCTTTAAGATCTTCAAGTATGTGTTTTTTGAGCAATTTTGACAAAAGTCTTGTTTTGTAGATACTTGGTTTTATTGTAAAGGCACTTCTATAGTGTATTTATTATATCTACACAATCTTGAACATATACTCCGAGGTGTTGGCATGAGATTTGTGAACTTTGTGTTTTCGAACATATATCTTCATAAGTAGTTCTTGGAGATAAAGTTTGTTGTATTTTTTGTCTTTGGCTCTGGCTTTTTGGGTGGGTTTTTTTTTTTCATTGTTCTGAGTCTTTTCTTTTGTCTTTCAATGCTTAACTCCAAGCTTGAACTTTTTTGAGATAGATTTGTTGTGATTTTTTGAAGTCTTATTCATTCATTTATTGTTTTATTTTAGATTTAACTTTCTCTAGCTTTCTTTTACACTCTTGTTTTTTTAAACTTTTTTTTTTTTTTTTATATACATATACTCATTATACTGTTCTGACTTTTCTAGTTTTCATTCTTTAGATACATATTTCAGGATCAACAATTCTCAACTTCTTGTACTAGGCCAGGCTATTTTTCTTGATCTTTCTGGTTGGTTGTTTGGCTGCTAATCTTTTACTTTTACTGATTTTTTTTTTTTTTTTTTTTTCTTGGGCCTCAAGATCTTGTTATTTGAGTTTCTGAAACAATTTAGAATTCTTTTTTAGTCTTAACTAACTATTTCTTTTGCTTTCCTTTCTTTTTTAGCTTTCAAGATCCTAGTTTCGGTGAAGTAACTTTTTCTTAAAGACTTTTTCCAGGCCAGCTGGATTAGATCCTGAATTCGTTGTTGCCGCGGTTCAATGTTGAAATTCTGTCTAAGTCATCCAAAAAGTATATATAAGGCCCAAGTACTGAATTTCTGGAATGGTGGTTCTGGTACTATTTTTACTAATATTGAAAGCTTAACAAAGATCTTAGCAGCAAGTTTTAAACCAATTCTCTGGTTCGTATATATATAAGAGTACTGAGATTATTTATACAAGAATGAGTAAAAAGAGAGCTTTTCTAGTTTTTACTGGGAATAGTTTATGACTAGGGCATAATGGAATTGGTCACATTAAAAGTAAATATAATACATATAGCATTGTTATTATATATAATTATTTTTCTATTTTGATTTAATTTATTTTTTGTGCTTCAAAATTTTTTTTTTTTTTTTTTATACTTTTCTTTACTTTTATCTAGACACATTATATAGCAACAAAAAATCTGGGTTTGAATTAGATTAAATACTTTGGCTATATTCGAGTGAATATAGGATATGGGACTTTTGAAATAGCATATCTTTTTTCTCTTGTATCTCTTTTTTTTTCTCTTGTTATATGTCTTGTATTTTGTTTCTTTCTTTTATTTAATACTTTTCTTATATTTAAAAACGCTTTTTACTCAACATAGTGTGATATTACAACGTTTGTGATAAAATTAGAGCAAGGTTAGACAATAAAATATAAAAGAGAGTTTCCTATTTGTTGCTTTGGGACAAGAAGCATTGATGGAACCGAACGTATATATGAAGCTTCTAAGATCTAATAGAACTAACTATATTAAGGTACATATAGTTTATTATGTATATTCTTTGTTTTCTTAGTTTTAATTTAATTTCTTATATTATTTTTAAAGCAGCACTATAAATAACGATAGTGTGCAAATCTAGAACCAAGAATAAATATAGTATAGGACTGTCGAAGCAGCATATCCTTTTGCAAGATATATGTTTTTGCTTTGTTGTTTTTCATTACTGTATTTTTTTATTTTATCTTACTAATGTTTCTTTTAGAATAATGTCATTAGGGGGTATCCATAAATAATGTTATGCTTGAGGGGGGAGGGGGTTCTCCAAAATATAACAATTTTTCAATATTTAGATGAGTCCCCCAAAATATAACACAATTTTTTTATAAAAATTTGTCTAAAATTTAATTTAGTGGTCCAAATTGGATGATTTTGGTATCATTCGAATCGTCTCGAGGAGAGAATTCAAATAGTACCAAAATCATTTGATCTGAATTACTGGGCATGTTTTATAATGAAATACTATTGGTTATTATGTTTTTTTATAAAATTACTATAAAATCAATAGTATTTCATTAATAAAACATTATTTAGTAGTCTAAATGAAATAATTTTAGTACCAATGGATTTGTCTTACTAAGACGAATCGAATGGTACCAAAGTTATTTTGATTGGATCACTAGGTCATAATATATTCAAGTTTTTGTAAAATTTTATATATAAGCATATGGATTTTTAAAAATTTTTTATATAGTCTAGGGGGGTTAAGAGCTACTATATAGGGATACATAACGTTATATATGGATACCCCTTATAGGTAGGATAAAATATAAAATGTATATACAGAGCATTGATACAAAAAGACTATTATTAGTAAAAAATCAGGATATAAGAGTATTAAGCAAAGTATATAAGGGCATGAATATGAGAATTGGAATACAACATAGGGAATCAATATGACTTGTATAATTAAACTATTAGTTTTTAAAGTTTGGGATATTAGTGTGGGAAAATGATAGAATAGTGTTATTTGTAAAAGGCAAATGTAATGAATAGTATACATGATATTTAAAATATTAATGTAAAAACGAATATGACGATTTTTGCTGAATTTCTTCATATAGGCAACTAGTGGTCCTGTTGTCGTTATCAAATGTGATAAAAATTCTGGATATTCTATCAAGAATACCAAGAATTAGGTTGCAACACGTGCCAAAGAGATGGGTTTTATATGGAGGACATTTGGACAAAAATTATTTTTGTATTTATTTTAAAATTATATATTTATTTAATAAAGGATTATAGTGGACATGTTATTACAAAGAGGCAAAAATAATACATGTTTTAGAGAAAAAGAAATATAATAAGTTTTCTAAAATAAGTGGGTTGTTTAGGTTGTAGGTTGTATAAACCTTATAGGGGGTGGGTTGTATAGGATACATAGGCCTTGTAAATATATATACATGGATTATAAACTGCATATAGGCCACAGTACTCCTATATAAGATAAGTTAACTAATTGTAATATACAAATAAAAAGAGATAATCATCATGTGCTAGAAAAATAGTCACATGCTATAAACTAACTACTATAATACTATGATACTATAATTTTTATTACAATATGGTAAGAAAAATATAAAAAATTTGTAGCTTAAGAAAAGGATAATGATATAAACTAAGCTATAAAGAAAAAAAAGATTCAAAAGTACTAAAGATCTATCAGTTAAAAGAGAAAAAATATTCAGAAGCACTAAGATTTTATCAGTAGAAAATCTACTAGCAAAGAATAGATTAACAGAAAACCAATTAGCAGAGATTTACTAAAAGAATACCAACTAACAAAAAACTACTTAGCAGACAACCACCTAATCAAAAAAATATAAAAGCTAAAAAAAAAATAGCCAAGATTTATAAACTAGTAAAAAAAACAATTTTGTTGCAAATTTCAAATTCTTTAGTAGTCTAAGTAAAAAATAAAAATAAAATAAAAATTTTAAATAGCTAAGTACTATGCTATAGCAGGTTTTTAAATGTGGATATCACTATATATAGAATCAGCTAGCAAACATTAGTGTAATAACCATATTTGGGTATTTTAATAACAGCCAAATATTTTTCTAATATGTAGTTAAATATATTAATTTTTTGTAAATTATGAATTTCTAATAAATTACTGTAGTACAAGGTTATCAAAAAAAAAATAAAATAAAAAATAACAAATAAATCAAATTAGTTTAACCAAAAACTCTTTATTAACTAACAAATTTAATTAATTTTTATTACAATAGTTAAAAATAAAATTTATTTTTATTAGTTATATTAAATAAATATTGCAAATAAGTACTATTATACAGTATATATATATAATATATATATTATATTATATACAGTATACTAAATATTTTATTAAAAAAATAATTTAATAACAATTTATAATATAAAATAAACTAAAATAATATGATTATATATAACAATATATATAAGCTTATACATACCTGATACTAACTTTAATAAAATCAAGTTATTAACATTTTTAATAAAAAAATATTTTAAACAATATATATAATTGTTATTATACGTATTCAACTGTATAATGATAAAAAGTAATACGTATGTAAAGAAAAAAAATTTTCGCGACTAAATACGTAATATATACTGTATATATATATTTATTTAATAAATATGTATATGCAAAATTAATTTATCGCTGTTTTCGAAATGGTAATATTTACAAAAAAAAAAAAATTTTTTTTTGTAATACTCTGTTAGTTTAGAACATTATATTGACCGTTCTAAACTAATCGAGTATTCGATTTTTTTTGTAAATATTGCTATTTTCAATCATTAAATAACCGCGGTTTAACTATATTGATATGTTTTTTAAAAATTTTTTTTTAGTCTACATTTTCGAATACAAACTTGTTTTTAAGAAACAAGAAATATTACAAAAAAATAATACCCCGTAACTGTAACATCAAAGTTTTGTTTCGCAACTATTCATGAATCTGCAGATATTCATATGATTTAATAGCCAGCCTAAAGCCCAAAAATTGAATTTAATTGTTTGGCAAAAAAATAATATTGATAATAATCTTGATTTGGAATACAAGGTTAAAAACTGCATAAAACGAGATTTCACCTGAATTCATAAATAAATTAGGTACGTAAGTAGTATCGGTATGACTAAACAAATTTAAGCATGTATTATTAAGCCCAGGAGGCGCAACGCAATACGTATTATTAAAGTTACCAAAATTTTACAATAACGATAATATATACGAAAATAAAATGAGCGCCTAACGATAAAATGTATACTTCATATCATAATATCACGTGTTATTGTAGCCTAGTGTCGTTATAAGAAATATACTCTCGATTGACATTTCCGATTGATGGTAATGAAACATGAGTTTTTGAGTTTATAAACAAGTGGATGACTTTTTTTAATAATTGATTTTTTTTTTTTTTTTTACACGTTGTGTTATATATATATATGTATATGTATAATGAAAAAATGTTGCCAAAACAAAAAAAAAATTAAAAATTTTACAGATAAAAATGAAAACAATGATGTATAAGTGTTTTTTTGAAAAAAAAAATTAAAAGTAGGAAAATATTTATAATATTAGAGTAGGTAATACATATGCAGATTGTGAAAGTTGCGATGGAGGGGGTGGTGAAGATGATTGATTTGGTGGTGGTGGTGGAGGAAAAAGAAATTGATTTTGCGGCATAAAGTTATTAATGTTACTATTATAACCACTTGTATATTTGCGACATCTTTCAATAACCTCAATTGAAGCTTCAAGAATTTGAGTATGAACCAAAGTATTTGATTTACGAGCATCTAAAATCTATAAAAAAAAAAAAAGTTGAATTTCAAAAAATAATAGGTTGAAATTTATAAAATTTATATAAAATTTGTAAGATTTATAAAATTTATAATAACAATTACCTTCCATTGAACTTCGGCCAATCGAGCAAATGCATCTTGTAATCTTTTTTGCCATTCAGATGCACGTCTGCTTTCATCAAGATTATCATTACTATTAGTTCCAAGCACATCATTAACGTGAGGAAGTTGAGTAGATTGTGGAAGTTGAGATTGTTGGTCTACCTCATTTGATTCTCTTTCTACATTTAAGAAAAAGATCAAATCAGGGCATAACAAGTGCACATAACTAGCTTTACACCAATTAAGGTCTAAACCCGCAGAGGCAGAAGCAGCGATTGATGAGTAAACATATTTATCTACTATTAAAGTTGTACCATTAATTAGATGTTCTTTCATTATAGGCATAAGTTCCCACCAATGTGCAGCAACAAGTAAATGAAGAGTTTTTGGATGTGGTTGACGATTGCTTGATCTATATGCTTTAAGAGCAGTACCAGAAGGGGTTGTGGTATCAGGAAATTTCCACAAACGAGCTTTTATACCCTCATTCTTTAAAAATTCAAGCAGCTTTGTTGATTGTAATGCAGTTGTACCATCTTCACAACCTTCAAGAACAATAAGAGCACCACGAGCTGTGGCAGCGGGTGGTGAAATCATCGTAGGTTGGGTGGGCGGTAATAATTGCATTGGAGGAGCTACTAAAGTATGTGGAGGAGGTAAGCGTGTTGTAATTTGCGATGACGTAGTATGTTGCCTCTGAGGAGAAGTAGATATCTTTGTTTTGAGTGTATCCGAAGTTGGTGATTTTTTATTATTTGATTTATTACGCTCTATATATTATGTATTAATGTATATATTTGTATGTATGTATGCATGCATTTTTTTAAAAAAACAATATATGTATATATTTAATTTAATAATCACCTATTTTATTCAATTCTTTTGAACCACGTTCAATTATTATAATTGATTTCCTTTGAGAAGATATATCTGTCAACTCACGTGAATCATGAGAATCATTAATAGGAATTTCACCATCAATATTAGATTTTCCTTGAAAAGATTTAGAAATCTCCATAACGAAATTGTCCATATTTGCTTTCATATGTTCATTAATATTACGACGAGAACCGGTATCAAAATCACCTACGTTATCGAGTTTAGCAGGAGCACCAGGACCCTTTAATGGTTTTTTAAAAGTTGGACCAACAACTCTTCTTCTAGGCTGATATTTATAATCAGGCCAAGCTTTCATATGACGTTCTTTTGCTTCTTCAGCTTTTCTTTTCCATTCATCTTTTTCTTGATCAGATAAATTTCTCCAATGATCAGCTATTATACGAGAAATTTCCGAATTATTAATTCCAGGATGTTGATTAAGAATAAGAGGATGATGATGTTGACGATATAAAATAAAAGAATTTGGAGGACGAGGAATATAAGGTTTTTTACGATTTTGTTTTGAAGAAAAAGTAAGATTTCCACTAGTATTCGTTGGAGAATTTGCATTTGAAAAATCATCAGAAATTTGATCATCGATAATCATTTCATCAAAACCTGATGAAGGAACCGGTGAAGGAGGTATAGACCCATTTAAAGTAGTTACATCATCGGTTTCATCGATAATTGTTGTTGAAATAGGAGTATTGGTTACGGAAGTTACAGAAGTTACGGAAGTAGAAGATTTATGTACATTTTTACGTTGCCTTTTTGATGAAGAATCAGAAATACGTTTATTTTTAGATATATCATCATCAATATCGTGACCACCCTTTCTTTTCTTTTTGGAAGTAGCCGTAGTAGAAAAATCGGAGTTATTGGAGTTATGAAACTCTATATTAATAAATCTTGGTTCATTTAAAATGGAGACATTATTACGAGGAGTTTCCGGTGATGGAGAGATTGATCTACTACTAATTTGTGATGTAGGAGAAGCGTGATCATCATCATGATTGATTAGATTTGAAATACTAGCGGCCGAACGAGCATTATCAATAGAAAGAGGTTGTAGTGAAGGAGAAGTGTCATTAGTTATTGGAGAAGAAAGATAATTATCAACCGAATTGTGACGTTGATCACGTAATTTCTGTTGTGGTAATAATTCATCAATCTCATCTTCATCACTATCATTATTGATATTATTAGAAGATGAAGCAAATACAGAAACCAATGAAGGTAAAGAAGGTTCAAGTTTTAAAAGATCAGAGCTTTGTAAAGGAGTTGTAGGAGATGATAAAGGAGGGGAAGAAGGTTGATGATTATCTTCTTTAACCAAGCTGATATTAGAAGAAGAGGTAGAAGTAGTGGAAACGGGAGGAGTTGTTGGCGTAGCAGAATCGTGTCCGTGATGTCTATGAGATGACATTGCGAAAATCTTATAGCGACTATTGTGAACTATTGCGAATTAAAAAAAATCTTAAAAGAATTTGAAAAAAAAAGAAGAAATTGTCAGATCAAATCAAATCAAATCAAATCAATCTTTTTATCCTGCGAACGGTCTTTGATAAGGTATTTTTAAAAGGAAAAAAAAGTAATGGGGTCTTAAACAACGAGGAAAATTAGGAAAATGAGAACAAAGGAAGAAAATTTAACAATTATTATATTAAATATTTCACCCTTTGTTTGTTTCAAAAAATCATGCTATGACGAAACTAGAACGAAAATGACATCTCCCTTCCGTAATAATAAGTAATAATAAGGTAATCGAATCATAACAACTATAACAACTATGACAACTATGACAACTAAATTCATTCAACATAGACAATTGAAATCTTATTACAGAGTTTTTTTATCCAAAGCCGACAACATGAAATTGATACGAATACAATACTTGATCATGTGTAAATGAGAATGAAAAGAAAGAAATAATGGGACAAATTAAAAATTGAAATTAAATAGGAAAAAGAACAAAAGGGGGAAGGATAAAATGATAAAATGATAAAATGTAATAATTGCACCAATTAATGTTTTTTTTTAACATCTCGTGTTATTGTTGTTGTTAAATTAATACGTATGCGTTATGTCAACGTCGAGGGATAGTAATTGTGTAATCACACTATCATAATGTTCAAGATAAATTATTGAGCATAAAAAAAAAAATACATACCAAATACGTATGATACGTAATATGAACTTTTTTAATACCGATTTTTTATTTTATTTTTTTTTTTGGGTCGTAATCTTGGCGTTAAGAAATTCTTATTGACGGATTGAATAAAGAACTGTAAATAAATGTAAATGAAATAAAGAAAGATCAAAAAGAAAATCAAAAGACGGATGAAGAAATTGAAAAATGAGGAAATATTGAAAAAATATTGAAAATTTAGAAGATTGTTGAATGTTTTTGGAAAGATGAAAGTTGAAGAACAAAAAGAAGAAAAAGAAGAAAGGGGGAGATACATATGATTGTCAGTAATAGCTCAAAATAACTCAAAGAAAAAAACCTTAAATTCATATTCCAAACAAAGGATAAAATCGCATGTACAAGAAACAAAGGATCGTGGCCAAATCGGATTATTTTCATCGTGATTGAATTCTAAAACATTGTCCTGCAATTCCCCTTTTATGTCTCTCACGACCTTTTGTGAAAATGACGTTTATATTCTAAAATTCTAAAAACGACATATACATTGCCTACCTTCTTTGTTCGCAAAAAAATATAGAGTTTCCCAAGGGTTTTATTTTGGTTTTACTTTAGTTCAAAAAAAGATCGTACGAGAAAAGAATTGATTATTTCGTAAATTACAATATACGAGAAAAGAAAAAAAATAGGTATATTTTTTCTTTTCAGTATATATAGTATATATACGTTCGTATGTAGTAGAGTTTTTTTTTTTTTTAACAAGTCATAAAATATAATAATAATAATAATAATAATAATAATAATAAATAAAAAAAAAGGGGGGAAAACACACTACGGACAATTGAACACTTGATGTATTTATACAAAAATAGAGGAATAATGATAAAGATTTGTTCGTTATAAGAACCTGCCGAACTTTATTCATTTTAGATTAAAAGTATATTTATTTATGAGGTTATTGTTGTCTTTGACACTGTTTCCGCATATATTAAAGTTTTGTTATTTTTCCATTTTTCCATGAGATCATAGTATAATTATTTATACAGAATACAACAGAATATTAAACTATATTTAAATATATACATAAAATGGGTACAAAATTGGTTTTTTTTAGATTACTTATTACGATTATTTATATTAGATAATGGCGGCTGATGATACTAGGATATCCAACCAGTTTTGTCAGAAAGTTTATTGAAACATGAATGAATGGACAGATAAACAAAAAAGATAATTTTGGAATCTGTGTGTGGATCACAAAAAGTTAGTTTTTTTTTTTTTTTTTTTTTTTTTTTTTTTTGAATCGTATGTGCAACTTATTCATTTTATTCATTTATCATTTGTTTTATCATTTAAAATATTGATATTTAAAATATTGATATTTATTGGATTGATATTTATTGGATATTTGTTTAGAAATATTGGGTTAAAAAACCGGTTCATATGATATCAGATATCGATATGTTACGTATATATATTATACGTACATATATACTGTATCTGATATTATATATATGTTTATATATGTTGTATATTATGTTATGATTATGAAGTATTATAACAGTATTATATAACAGTATTATAACAGCATTATATAACAGTATTATAACAGTATAATCATATACTATATCATATTATTATACCATATAATCACACATATTATAAAAAGATATAAAATTTGATAAATCGATAGCGAACAATAAACCTAAAATTAATCCGATATCGTGACTTTAAAATAATAAGGAAAGGTTAAAGACCAATTAATTAAGAGTAATACGATGTACAATGATGAAACAATATTCATGTACGTACCAATCAAAGATTAATAAGATGAATCAGCTAGGCACTTTAATTAGTAATAACGATAATTATAAATGTATATCAATCTGTCAAAAAGAACATTTAATCTACGCAGAAAGAGTTACTAAAAAAAGAATTAGGGTGTAGTAAAAGAATCTAAAAGTAAAAGGAATCTAGAATAAAAGGAATCCAGGGGTGGGGATGTTTTGTTTTATTATTCCAACAATAGATTTTTAAAACAAACGATCAAAAAACAATACGAGAGAGTTTTTCTTACAGCAAACTGCGTGTAATTTTTTTTGATTTATTGTTTCCCTGATCATGTATTTATATATGATTAATAAGAAATAAAATAAGTATAAAGAATCAAAGTTATCCGTTGCATGGTCACAGATATTTAAATTACAGTATATGAATTGACACAATGAAATAAAACCTTCTTTAGAAATAATCATTCATTCTTGGGATTGGTGCAAACTATAAACCCAGCCTAAACTTTAAGATTTAGTATAAAAAAAAAAAAGTGGGAGTGGGGTAATGAAACAATAGACTTTTTTAATGATGAAAGTGATATAGATCGCATGATAATACGACAAAAAAGATCGGGTAAGTTTAATATTTAGAAAAGTTTATACAAAAATGGAAACTGAAGATAAGAGAAACAACTTTAGGGTGCTTTTTTCAAACAAAAGATTTTTTGAATTAGTTTGTTTTAAAACTAAAAAGCATGATCGACGTTGTGATAATAAAGTTATTGTTTGATTGTTATACAGAAGATGGATGAGATGTATAAATCTTCCTAAATCTTCCATAAGAATAACGATATACGTACTGTACGTACTTGTAAGCACGTACAGCACGTATAATACATAAGTATGTACTTACGTATCAGATATGTATAAATACTTTTAAAAGATTGTCAATATTTCGGAAATATCACGAAAAATAAATATTAAAAAATATTAAATGTTTATATACTGTATATTTATTATGTTATAAAGGTATCTATAAAGGCATCTATAAAGGTATCTATAAAGGTATCTATAAGGTATCTATAAGGTATCTATAAAGGTATTTATAAAAGTATATACTGTTATCTTTAAGTCAGTTCGGAAGCATATTTAGTGAGTCATAAGAATAGACGAATAGTATACAAATATAAAAATGTTCTATGAGTATATACAAATGATTTATTAGTATATAAAAATGGTTCATTATAGTAATAAGAATAATAATTAAGGAGCTGTAGATGATGAAGGGTGGCGGTAAAGGTGTGCATTCCCATTTATATATGTTTCTTGTTAATCTCATTTTTAATCTCATTTTTAATCTCATTTTTTCGGTGAACAAATTTAACAAAAATGTAAAAGAAGGATTATTTGTGAATCGTTAAAGGTTAGTGAAAATATTAGTGAAGTATTGGTTGATTATTAATCTGTTAATGGATTATTAGTAAATTATTAACGGATTATCGGTGGATTATTATTACGTACTATATATTATTAATGGATTTTTTATTAGTATATAATTAATATATATATAATTTGTATATAATTAGTATATAATTAGTATATAGATTGTTAATGGGCATAATTTACCATAATTTACGATAATTAATATAAAGAAGGTAAACAATGTGGAGCTCATGTTTCTTAATTATAGTCATGAAAAAAAAATTTTTTTTATAAGGTGTATGTAAATGGTTAGTATTAAACGGCGTATTTTTTTGTAATTTAAAGGCTCGTGCGCAAACTGAAGTCAGGAATATAAAAATGCATAAAAAAAATCATATGACAAATAATTTCCATAAATGTATAACAAATCAATAGCTTTTCCAAATTAAAGTTTTTTCTATCGGCCTTCTCAAAAAAAAAACAATGTTGCCTCCTCGAATATCAGCCTTATAAAAAGCGAATCGGATCACTTCCTCTAATTTCGGGCATAAAAAATGTGTTTTATGAGGCAAGCGGTAAGCGTGGCATAGCTTATTACATATTTTTAACCTATGTTATTATATTTATTCTATTTATTATAATTTATTATAATTTATTATTATAATGATTATATACTTAAGAAGTTTGGTAAACAAAAAAAGATTTACCGCCGAATTGTAAGATGTGTAAGATGTGATAAGGTTTTAAGTTTATTTTTAATCATATATTACAGTATTACATCACTGTTTTCATTTAAGAATTTCCTTTTTTGTTTCTTTCTATATTACCTATATTATTAATACCATACAATTACATAGAATTAATATTACAATTATTATTACTAAAATTATACAAATATTACCAATATACCCTTTTAGTATAATAAATCGACCCTGAACTCTGTACCACTCGGAGTTGATTTTAATATGTTACCTTAAACTTCAACGGATGATCGCGTGCTTTGTACATGATTAAAAAAAACAATAAACAATCTCCATTAATACTATAGGTAAAAATCACGGAACTTTTAAATTTTTAAATTAATAAGAAAAAAAGAACCCTAAAAAGAAGCTAATCTTTTTTAGCGTTGTATTTAGAATGTATTTAGTATGTATTTTGAAATTAGAGGTAAAGCGTATGTTTTAAAACTTAATGTATTTAGTCGGTATTACGAAAAGTTGTGATGTATGGTTTAGTAAAATAGTGATATATGTTATATACTATATATACTACATAATATACTACATATATATATAATATATTTATTATGTATAAAATATTATAGTCGTGATTTACTGCAATTATTGTCGCTGAAATCTGAGGGTCTTAATTTAGAAATATAAACCCTAACCTAAACTCTAGTCCAAAAGTACCTCAAAAAATTTTAAAATCGTATTTTCAGTATTATCTGTGATAATTATTATTTGACCTCACTTCTACAAAAGTTTATTTATCGTTATTGTTATATAAAATTATCGATGAGTCAGTAACAAAAAAAAGTGTTTTACCAAAATCAAGATTTTTACAGGATGCTCTCAAAAAATCAAGTTTTTTACAGAATTGTATAGTACGTATTGTTTTAATAAAATCAAGATTTCTACAGGATTGTACATACTGCTTTAACAAAGATCAAGATTTTTACAGGATTATACATAGTGCTCTAACAAAAATCAAGATTTTTACTGAATTATATGTACTACACGTATGTACTGCTATAGAATGCTTTTTCATAGAGATGTATTGATATCTTTAAATTGCAAAAATAATCTATTAATTGAATTAATTGATAATTAATTGCGCTTGATTTTCAAAAAATAGGTTTTGGACAACTAAAATCAAGCAACATTAAATTATTTTTGAAAAAAAATTTCATTATTAATCGATAAATAGATCCTTCGAAGGTATTATCATTTCTTTTTAAGAAAAAATCATTGTTACGATCATTGTTTTTTGCTTTTTAACAACTATATTAGACTTAAGACTTTTTACTGTAAATTATAACGTCACAAGACTAAACTTTTTAAAATAGATTATAAGTAACCCTTCCATTTGGCATATATGTGTGACGAATCATTGGATGTGGTGTATGCATTAATTAATATATATATATATATATATATATATATATATAGTTAATTATATAGTTAATTATATAGTTAATTATATAGTTAATTATATAGTTAATTATATAGTTAATTATATAGTTAATTAGATAATACTTATTTGACATCCGAATGATTCGTCACAACTATGTCTAAATTATACAATTTTAGGGTTTGTTTTTTGAAGTAGTTAGTAGATCAATATGTCCCCTTTATATCATAATATACAGTCGTGACCTCACCAACAATAATATATTATACACGACTTCATATACCACAATTATTCGTATTACTCATATTTAGCCTATTTGTATTTTTAATGCTAGTGTGTACGTGTGTATTTCAGTGTATACAATTATATACAATGATCACAAATAAAACAAAGAATAAAGAATTAATGATTCGTGCTTTATAAATTGTTTACAATTTCTTTTGTCAGACTTATAATTTATTGAAATAGTTACAATAACTACGTATATGTATTCTTTTGATCTTTACAAGTCTTATAAGTCTCATAAGTATTATAATATAAGTCTTATGATCAAGAAAAAAAAACAAAGGATTTATGTTTATTTACATTGAACTTTAGCGTTGTACATATGATAAATTGTACAAGTTATATGTACAAAGTTTAATTGTACAAGTTAAATAAATGGTTTTAGATTCTAGAATTTCGGAATTCTGAAATTCCGGAAATAATTTGTACGTTAATGAATCTGCTTGTCTTTTAATTAACCTAATTTATCGAAATTAATCGAAATTCAATAGAATTAGTCGAAATCAATTTTAATGTTAATCGAATTTCATTGAGTTTTAATTGAGTTTTAATCGAATTTAAATGCGCTTAATTGAATTAATTGAATATAATTGAATTTAATAATAAAATTTATTTAAATTTTAATTATTTTAATTAAATTTAATTGACAATTTTTTCATACTGTAATTTGACTCCTGAACATCTTTATGAATAAAAGTTGAAAATAAGTTGATATTCTAATAATCCTTCTAAGAGTCTTATCCCTTCCTTACAGAGAATTCTCCTAATAATATTATTAGTATTAATAATATTAATAATTTTAATAATTTTAAGTAGTTTAACATTTATATCTTGCATGCTGTGACCATAATACTTTACAATACGCGTTTGGTCAATATTAAATGTTTTATTCTGCGCGTTTTTTTTTGTTACCTTTTTAAGTCATTTTCATTTCACACGAACTTTATTTCACATTCCACAAAAGTTCATTCCACAAAAAAAAAAATAATAATAATAAAAAATAAAATAAAACTAAATATTACATCACGTCTATGATTGACTATTTTTAATTTGTGATATGCCTAATGCTATTAATTATGCGGGGGCACTTAATTATAACGGGATATTATGTGTTATGATTACAACAAGTAACATAAAGCAACGTAAAGTAACGTAGTAAAAAAGGGAAACATTTATAACAACGTGTAAATGTGTTGTGTTATGCTATTATAATAAGAGTAATTTGTTTTTGCATCAATTTTTTTCATAATTTTAATGTAAAAATGGCGGGAATCTTTAGGAAAAAAAACGCGGGAAAAACACCGAAAAAAACGTGCCTAATATTTTGGTGATACTCAATATTGCACAAACCTTCTAAAGTTTTTTAAGTAAAATACACAATGGAAGCCATTTAATAGCTTATAATGCATATATTTATCATTGTAACATTTTAAACGTTGTATAACATTATTTAGTACAACAAGTTTAAGTTTGAGTAACAATATTCAATATTGGATATATTACTGATCTATGATAAAAAGATACGTACGTACGCGCACTGTACTCATTTACGCTAAATTAATGTTAATAATATTAAATTAATGCTAAGAAAAATGATCTTAAAACTCAGACAGTCCTCATTGTATAACCAGTTGATTATTATGCATTCAAGATGCTGAAACATTAAACCAATCAATATATGCGCGCGTGATGCCAACTGAAAAAAAAGAAAGAATTTAAGAGTATCATATTCATTGTTTTGATTAACACAACACAGAAAAATAAATCAAATTAATATTTCCACTTTCGTATTTAAAAATCATCTCCAATCATAATCATTCTTTTGAATAATAGATTCTAAAATAAGAAATATTACAAAAAAAATTCATTGGTGTTTAGTTAAGATTTTTATAAATCTGGATAAGATGGAAAGAACGTACATATCAGACATATGGTATATATGATCGAAAATGAAAAATGAAATTAACGATTTTCAAAGAATTTTATTATTATTTACATTTCGTTATAAATACATTTATTTATAAATTCGGTTATACATTCTGTTATACATTCGGTTATACATTCGGTTATTCATTAGTTTATACATCTGTATATCGAATTATACATTAATTTATTTCATACATTAATTTGCACATGGTGTTTAATATTTTCTGACCACTTTGATAAAACCACCTTGGTAAATTCTTTTCTAATTTTGAACAAACCTTGGTTACTTCGCTGGTGACACGTGTTTCGACTCTCGTACGATCCAGGAGTTGAATCAATAGAGATTATCTATTTATATACTTATTTCAATCTTTTTTAATTATACATTTGCTTTTATGTATACCATAAAGAAACACACGGAAATCAATCTCTTGTTTTGGAAGTACCCTTCGCAATGTCACAACATGTTTCAAGAATATTTATGTATAAATCTATTCCGTATAAATCTAAAGTATTACTGTATAAAACTTGGTAAAAAAGATCAGAGATTATTAGTGGACTGTGGACTGTGGACCACGAACCGTAACCGTACGACGTTTTTTTTTTTTTTTGATTCCAAAGTTTTTCATATATATATATAAATATATAAATATATATAATTTTTTTTTAAAAAATATATATTTATAATGTATATATACCCAATATATATATATATATATATATATATATTATATATATCGATATAGTTATATTTATATATATATTTGTTTAATTTCCCAGAGTGCACCAATCACCACGCGAGTATACATATTTATGCGAATATCTGTCATGATTGTCGTAAAATTTCAAGAATAAAAATAAATGGCGCCTTAAACAAATGTATATCTATCTATAATAAACGTTATGTGTAATAATTTGTAATAATGTATAATGTTATAATATGTAATAATGTTATAATGTGTATAATGTAATTATCATGAGAATAATGCAACAAGGAGCGGCGGGAAGAATTTGAAAATATATGTTATATATTAAAAAAAAAAAAAAAAAAAAACGATTATTTATTATTTAATTAATAAAAAAGACGTAGTTTTGAAAAGATTTTTCCTGAGTTGGGGGGCGTCCATATTTGTTGATGAATACAATAGTACGACCCATCCCTTAATAAGTCTCAATTTATCCTCATTATTTTTTTTTCGTACGGAAATCTTGTGATTCGCATATTTTTTAAATTGTGAGGGGGGAGGGGGGAGTTCATCTCAATTCTGCAACTGATAAAGTTTATCATTAACTATCTGATTAAAGTTCTAATATTAATCTATTGATATGGAAATTGATAAAACGCATAATGAAAAAAGAAATTTGACCAAATTTTGGGTAAATTTGTAACAATTCAGCTTATGATACCATGAGATTAAATCCGATATGGTTTGATTATGAATCACAAAGAAAATTTGTACGCAGACTTATTAAGGATTCATTATCTTGAATTAAGGTTCATAGATGAGAAAAATTCGAATAGATTCATTGTTTTAGTTCCCGCCAAATTCTTTATGGCAAATTCATCGGCACCTTCAATCTAATTTAACACTCAAAAGACACACTCAAATTTCATTATTTCCAAATTTGATCATCTATTACAATAATAAATAATAATAAAATCTATCGAATCGGATCACTTCCTATTTGGGGCATCCGCTTATTTTAGCGGGTCGACCTTGGTGCACTAATTAAAAATGACGGTAATGAACTTTTACATCATTAAAAATAAGTAAATTTTTTAAGAACAAACTCCGAGTAGTACAAAGTAATAATAATATTATTAAGGGGTTAAATAAAAACCTCTAAATTCATTTTCATTTTGATCTATGACAAATTTTGACAGCTTATAAATTTTACAACTTGCAATATAGGTTTAGGGCTGAAACGACATAGTAAATGTCGATCATTCAATAAGTATCATTCTTGATTTACATTTTATTGGCCAAAAAAAAAACATTTTAATGCATATCAGATATACCAAGTATATACTGTATTACTGTATTACTGTATTACAGTATAGCAAAATTTTGGCGATCCACCCAATCCGATTGTAACAACTCATAAATTTGCTATGGAAATTAGGTTTGATATAAAGTTTTTGGCACAAAAATTTATATATCATTTCTATTTTATTAATGCAAATATTAATGTTTAGGAGAAATTAGGATAGAATCGTTGTTGGGTTAGCCACGGGACCGCCAATTTTTTGTGCCAGGACTATTTCACTATTTCACTTACATATGTATGTATGTACTGTACGTACAGTACGTACGTACGTACATCTGATATATGATATCAGGTATATACGTACTAGTGATGCAGTAAAATCGTCCCAATGATGTTACGGCTTAACTAAAACTTCTGTCGTTACGACAATCTGGGACGTACGTATTTGACTTCCGGATTTTACGTTTTTTTTATATAATTTAAACCAAATTTAGCATTTGCATTTTTTGAAAGTATTAATCATATAAACAAAAGAAAAAAAAGCCTTGCCTAATTGAGATATTCTTTATTCTCTTTGGTAGTATGATAATCATGTATAAGTCAAAAGAGGACAAAGAAAATAGCAGTTAGAAACCTTATAAGCCTTATGTGTAGAATTTCGAATGCCAAATAGAATATTATAATCACAAACTTTGTTAAAGATTTCGTAAATGCATATCTAATTTTAGGATATCTTTAAGGTGAAGTCAGTTTAACATTAGTGCTAGTCATAGATTTGATAGAAAAAAGGTCTTTTCCCAGTCAACATAGAGTTATGCATAATGCAAGCATTGATAGATTTTCAGCATTTCACGTTCCTTTGTTCACCAACAAAAAGTCCAAACACAATGACCAAAAGCATCTTTTCTTTGTTACACTCTTGTTCAATATCTATTCACACGTTATTCATTAAATCCTTTGTCCTAAATTGATCTCAATATCTAATCTCAAATTTTTAATTTAAAAACAATCTTTTCGAAATCAATATTTAAAATAGATTATGTAATTACTTTCTTTGATACTTCTTTGTTTGTATTTTTAAGTCAAAATTGGTGACCAAAAAAATTTAAAGTAATATTTACATTGTTCTTTTAATGTTTGTTCAGAGATGTTACAGATATCTATATAATTTAATATTTTTGCATATAGATATGCGAAAAAAAACGTGTATCGGTTTTTTTGATTTTTTTTTTTTTTAGATTTACATATAATAACAAATAAGGAAATAATAGAACTCACATCTTGATATTACGTAACCTTTTGTTCTTGATGCCATATATAATTTTTATTCAATCATAGAATTACCCATAAAAATTACAATGAAAATTGGAAAAAAGAAAAACCCTGAAAAATCAAGAAATTCGGAATGCTATTATTAGGACAAGAACAATTCGTCTTTGTCTACACGGAATATCAGGAATATCAGGAATATCAGGAATGAATCAGGTATTTACAAAACACAGTATAAAGACATTCCTTGTAGTCAAATTTGGTTTCATTGTAAATTCTATCGTTCTTTTCAAGTTCATTGTTATACGAACTTGAAGTTTTCGGGATAAACATTAATATAGATTTATACGATTTCATTGTGAAAAAGCTGCATTGTTACCAAAATTATTTTATCGAAATATTGGTTGGAACCGTTTACTCGTATAAAAAATCTTTTATAACTCCAGGCCGAATTATGTTGGTCATGACCAGGACAATTTTAATGCCGGCTGAATTAAACGGTTAAGAAATGATGTATGTTTGTTTGTTTAAATGATTTTTGTACTCATATCTAAGATATCTAAGATAGCTAAGATAATGCCAAGATAATGTTAAGATATTTTGTTACGAAAAACTTATTCATATCTGATATAGCCATATAATAATATAATAATAATTAATATATATATATAATTAAAATGTACCGATATCTTTAAGACTATTAGAAGCAAAGATTGATAAACAATCTAATCATCGATGGTTGATTCTTGTATAAACATTGGACTCGTTCAATGAAAAAGTGATTCATGCTATGGTAAACAAGAATTGTAAGTACGTATATCGATATATCGATATATCGTTTAAACACAAAGTCAATGGGAAATATCAATGGAAATATCAATGGAAATACCGGTTTTTTTTAAAAAAATATGTATGAATTCAAAAAAATAATTATTGTTTCGCAGGAGTTCTAGGCACAATCTTCCCGGATAATCCAGTCTGTGAAACGTCAACATATGCATCATCTTCAAACATGTTTTATATTAAAGTAGGTACTGTCAGTACAAGTTATAAGACTAAAAAATTCCAGATTGCTAACACATAACGATAACGATAATGAGAATGCCATAATCTATCTATATATCTATATTAGTAAAATTTATCCATGTGTCTATTGATCTTTAAAATTAGTTCGTTTGCTTTGATTATTATGACATGGCCTCCATCTTAAGATCTTGAATGGAATCTGCAAATTTGAGAGTAGTGATACCTACTTTTTAGACTCCACTGAGAAAATATCGTCACTATATTGTACTGTACATAATCTAGCAGCCATACAAAAAAAAAAAAATCATATTTTAAAATTATTACTAAAGCATTTAACTATATCTCAATAAAAAAGTTTATGATTTAAAAGTTGTTTGTGAAGCTTAGTTTTTAAATAAAAATCTTCTTTATATTTCAATAGACTTCTCATGTATGATAACGAATGTTGCTTTTAAAATAGCTTTCTAAATTAGCCTTACCTAAAAATTATAGTACAATATATATATGTCAATATATAGTGCTAAATGTGAAGTTAAAAAAATAAATAAATGATAAATAAAGGGTCCTGATTTTTCCACGCCTTTTTTTGATATTTCCACACCCTTATGTAAATCGTTATTTTTTTATTGATCGAAAGCAACTCGCTAACCACCTGACCAAATATAATAAATTGAATTCTAGAATTCAAATAAAAAATTTCATCGAATTTGGTCAGGTGGTTGTCGAGTAGAGTTTTAAAAAAATTTTACAAACGTCAATCAAATGGCATGATTTTTTTTTGACTTTGATCGAAGATATATCTCAACAACCACCCGACCAAATTTGGTTAATATTTATTTTTAAATTCTATTAAAAAACAAAATCCTTCAGAATTTGGTTTGGTGGTTGTCGAAATACCTTCAATCAAATTCAAGAAAAATTTTTAAACATCTAACAAGATAGCTGCGGCAAAATTTTCTTGACTTTAATCGAAGGTATCTTGACACCCACACAACCAAATTCGAGAGAATTCAAATAAAAAAATCAATTGAATTTGGCGAATTACTTTCGTTCTAAGTTAGTGATTTACATAGGGATGTGGAAAAATCAGGACCCTAAATAAAAAAGAAAAAAATTTTTTTTTTATTTCCAATTGATGAACTATTACAAATGATTCTATACATCTCGGGGTCACCCGTTTATCTTTATCTTAATAAGAGAGCTATTCTTATTTCTTTTTATTCACCTCATTTTACTTCCAATTAACTATTCTATATTATCTTTCACTATGGTTAGTAATAGGCTAAATTAATTAGATATTACTAATTAGTGCTCCTATCAAACCAAACTTGTCAAACTTTTAATCAAGTTTGAGTTTGATATAAGTTTCAAACTAAACTTAACTCAAACTTCTTTTCAAAATTATATTTAGTTTGAGTTTGATTATAAACTTTTTAGCCAAGTTCAGTTTGGTTAAAGTTTGGTTTAAAGTTTATAAACTAGTTTGGGTTTGATTATATAAATAAAGTTTTACAATTTGATTTGATTTGACCAAACATTTAATCTTAAATTAAATTTGATCAAATTCATATGATTTACTACAATTTAAACAAAAAAAAAATTTTTATAAGATTTTTTAAATGTATATAGCTGATAGTATAGAATATAAAGTACTTTTTTAAACCATATAGCAATTCACTACAATTTTGTAATGCTAACCTTAATAATACATAATGCCAGAATATATATTAAAAATAGATATTTCATACCCTATATCTGTTCATAATTTATACAGACTGATATAGATAAGAAGCTAACTGAAAAATTAAATACTTAGATCAATTAGACCAATGATTAATTACTAAACTTAGGCCGTTCTTAAGCATCTTACTCAATGGATCAGATGTAAATTTTTAATTAGTCAGAAAATAAATAAATCAAGTGAGTTACCAATTTGATCAACAAATCAACAAGATACAAACCATCTTTTTTCTTCAAAAATTTACCATTGATAAAGATTACTTAAGCACTACTTTTACATTTACATATCTAACATAATAAACAATAAATTCACAACAAATTTCACAACAAATTTCAAATTAGTCTAAAAAGATAGCCACTTTATTGTTAATACTCGAAGCTTTTAAACCAAATAATCGACACCTTGATATGATACAACCCATCCTTTAACATTTAACCAAACCATAATGAATACTGCTATTTCATTTTTCGCTCATATAAACTTAATAATTTTTTTTTTACTTCTTGTTGCTGCAAAACAACTTTTGCTAATGATTCTATAAGTTGCTGCTGTTGCAACAAAAGGTTAATATTGGTAAAATCATTAAAGGGAGAAGCCAAAGTAACCGAAGCTGAAGATTCAGCAGTTGGTTAAACATAATTTTTTTTTATTAGATTTTTTTAGACATTTTAGGTGGCATAATGAAGATCAAGAAAAATAGAAAAAGAGTATGCTCAAGCATTTAATTCTATAAATATTGCCATTGATTGTGATGCTTGAGCATCATGATAATTCTTTAAACAATTGATTTAGATACTTGAGAATGGCCTTAGACTAAGGGTACTCAATGTAATTGGATAGCTATTGAAATCATTCATATGTTCTACGATTAATTGAAGCAATTCCTACTGTAATTTTGCTGAAGTCTATAACAAAAAAAGATATCATGATAATGAACCTACTTACTGATTAAATTGCTTTCTACAATTAAAAATTGAGCTTAAATCATATGAATAAAAAGTGAAACAAGATATTAATTAATACATATATTGATTGATAATGTTCAATTGATTTAATAAAAAAATACTTAATTGAAATACTATGTAAAAACCTGACATTATATGACAAAGAGTTTTGTAAACCAATTTCAACCTATTAAAGATTTTTAGAGCAGCTCATTAGCTTTGGTCGCTCCAACCCCAATGTGCAGAAACAGGAGGAACTGTCAACTGTTTCTTCACCCGGTATGCAACATATAAAAAGATTATTTTGCAAATAACCAGATCATTCCACTACATGTTATGATTACAATCCCATACCATTTTTATTATAATAAAATAGTGTAGGATTATAATCATAACATAACTAGCAAAATTATTTGGTATTGTAAAATAATTCTTTATATGTTGCACACTAAAAGGATCAGCTATGTAACATCGATGGTTCCTCCTGCTAATGTGCTAAAGCCGGCTTTGGAATAAGCTGTTAACGGCTCTAAAGACTATCACTATCTGAAGGCAGTTAACAATTTGATTTGAAAGATTTATATCCAACTCCATACATACATAACTGATCGTAGTGGCTATACTAGGTTCATGTTGGGGAAGTGGTTGGGAAAATATTGTCAGGGAAATGAGAGTATGACCAAAGTGTACTCAATCTATTCAAACCCAAACTAGTTTGCAAACTTCGAACCAAACTCAAACCAAACTTAGTTTTGAGTTTGAGTTTGGTTTGAGTCTGAAAATAGTAGATTCGAATTAGGTTTGGGTAAAATTTTTATAGTTTAAGTTTGATTAAATTGAGGTTTGATCAAACCCGAACCAAACCTAAACCAAACCTAGGAGCCCTACACATGATAATACAAATTTTTTTTAAAAAAGTATTCTAGGTTAATTAAAAAATATTAGAGTTCTACTATTACTTATTGGTTAATAATTTATATACTTTCTAATTATCCTGATTTGCTAAAACAACTTGTTGGATTTGGAACAAATCTATAATAAAATTAGGAACTGTAACACTACCAGAGACAGTGATGACATACCCAACTGTGGAAGGAGCTCCCCTGATAATGGGCGGATTCCAAAATACATCTTGAGTTAGGATATTAACTTGATAATTAACAAGACCTGGTCTCGTACAGGCAATAGGAGCACCAGTATAATAATCAAGAGTACCAAAATTCCACTATAAAAATTTTGTAATATATTAGATATTTGCTATTTAAATTGATTGCAAGAATATCAATGACGTGCTAATCTTACCTCTTCATAATATACTCCTGCCTGTCCTGCTACTGCTATGTGCCTTCCTGATACTGGTGCTGCCTGACGTGTCCAGAGTCTGACCTAAGATCAGAAATAGAAAAAATTTAAAAATTTCGAATAAATAGGCTGTATAACACGTACAATCATACATCGATCCAGCTGTCTATTTGCATTTCATGTAGCTCTTGGACTGTAAATTTTAACTCTGAATATGCATTTTACATATTGCTGTTGTATCTAACGACTACACTTTGCATTCCAACCACTCTGACCCTCATAACTTTGCGATACTGCAATTTCGCACATGATTCTTGCGTGGGGTCTTCCCTATACAGTATAATTGATTTACGTTAAGACTAGAGAAAATTAGGAACAAAATCTGATATGACAGAACCAACCGATTTGTCAACTAGGGGAATTTCAAGATGTCAGGAAGGCCTTGGAGCGGTTCTATGTTGTGGAGGCGGAGCTGGAATTGGAGACTTCGGAATAATGGTCAAACCTGGATATATAGCAATATCGGGTGCAGACGGTTTTCCTCTTCCACGTGGTTGATAGTGAGCTATTATAGGACATGAGAAGACTATAAATCTGATAACAAGACTAAGTGACCCAAAGGAATTTTTCTTACCTGAAGAACCCAGAACATCTATTGGATGATTATCGGCGACACCTCCATTAGGAACCTCAAAATATTTTATAAGCCGTGCAACAGCGGATGCATGTTCTGCTTTTTCCATTTCAACTATAAATACATTTCCTCTTGGATCGATTTCAAATTTATATCCGCGTGTATCTTGACGTTCAAAGAAAGTGTCGATTTTTTTCACTGACAAATTCCAGCCTATCTGTATAGGCAAACTATCATATGTGTCAATACTAAGACGAACTTAATCCATCTGTGTGATGTTCACTTACTTTTTCTCTCTTGAAGACTCTTTTACGCTCTGGAAATTTTTTTTTAGGGACAGAATTCGTCTGATCATTTTTGAAGAAGATATCGTTATTGATTGTATTTTTCGTCATTTTAAGTTAACAGATTAAGGTTACACAATACAATGCCACGTTCATATGACCACAAAAAAGTGCGATAGTCCTTTTTACTATGAGTAGTGATTTGTCCAAGGAAAATATATAATTGAACAGTATTAGTTAAGACGTTGAGGGATTACTTATAAGGGTCTTTATAATACCATATTTCAATAAGTAATATCCGATTTTTATCACAAAGTTCTTTTTTTAGCTGATCTCGTGCAAACTGTTTTTCAAAATCTTTTTGGGTTTTATGGAAGAAAGCGTAATGTTGTATACCTTGAACTTCGATAGCAAAACCATATTATGGGTAGTATATATCAAGTTCAAGTCCTAGCGGATGATCAGGCGTTTTTAAGAAATCTGGTCTACGAATATTAGATAGTGGGCCTAAAAATTTCGTTGCTATTTCTTTGCAGAGTTCTTGTCTCTTCTGTGGACAAAATGGACACCATGTACCTAAATTTTTTACTTTATCCAGGGTTGCATACCATTCATGCTTTTTTTCACACCGCCATTTTAATTTTGTATGCGCACCATTATACGTTTTAGAAAGACATAACCCTTTATTTTTAGTCGCAATTTTTCTAGCTTCCTCAATAGAAAGTTTTGCATTACCCGAACAGTGAGGACACCATGTATCTAAATTCCTTACATCAGGAAGTTTTGAAGGTATTATTATATGCCATTATATGCATTAATTAATATTACTTGTTAAATAATACGATTACTCTATATTAAACAACACTATATATTTTATTATTTAACATTTACTATTAAATAACATACAATGCTGTATTAAACAACGGTAAGCATTCAATTATTTAACGATTGTGTTAAATAACAAGTAAATGCTATATTAATATGCTGTTTT